AAAAAAAAAGTTTAAAGCAGTTTAAAGGGTAGTCCTTGTCATCCATCAGGATAAGATCCAGTTATATCTGTGAGTTCATTATTTCCTTACAGCATGAAACCAAGTGTCAGCTGGGCAGGATTCTTATCTTTAAGCTCTGGTGGAAAATTCTGCTTCCAGACTCATTAACGTCATTCATTGGCAGATTTCATTCCTTTAGGTTGTAGGACTGAGGTCTCTGTTTTCTTGCTGGCTGCTGGCTAGGTTCATGCTCTGCTCCTAGAGGCTGCTCTCAGGTCCTTGCCATGTGGCCCCCCTCAGCAACAGTGTACTTCCCTTAAAGAGAATCTCTCTGACCTCCTCTTCTGCAACCAGCTGGAGAAAACCGATTGGTAACCTTTATTACATTGCAAAATTACAATGCAAAATCCTTTTGCCATTTAACAATCATGAAACTAACACCAGTGGGGATCATGGGGCCCATCTAGAATTAGCGGCTAGATTAGGAGTTCATTTAAAAAAAGTAGGACTGTCTTATTAACTTGTGCATCCTAGCTCCTAACACGGTGCTTAGCAGATAGCACGTATCCAGAAGGTGTCTGTGTGAAGGAGATTCTAGGATGAAAAGAGTAAACAAAGAGTTCAAAATTGGAGATCCTGTAAGGGTCAGGAAACCTTAGCTTGAAGAGCAAGGCAGCTGCTCATTGAGATTCTTATGGCAAAGAATTTGTAAAATCCACTTAGATGACAGCAGGAATCCTTGGCGGAAAAAAAACTTTAAAGCTCTAACAGACTATGTAAGAAATAATGTTTTAGTTGAGTTAGCTTATATAATTAACTTTATTTGTTATACTTTGTTCGTTTTTCCAGAAAGTAAAGCATTTAAAATTCAGACAAGTGGAGAGGCAGATGCCACTGAAAGAGTGGATCTGGAAGAGCTGATTCAGTGTGCAACTGGTAAAATGGAGCTTTGTGCAAGCTCTGATCTTTCTGAGCACGTTGAGGGGAATTGTGAAATTATAAATGAACTAGTTGCTGCCTCCACACAAAAAGGCCAGATGAAGAAGAAAAGGTTGAGTGAACTTGGGATCACGCAAGCTGATGACAACTTAATGTCACAGGAAATGTTTGTTGGAATTGTGGGGAACCAGTTTAAGTGGAATGGGAAAGGAAGTTTTGGCACATTTCTTTTCTGACCGCAATGATGTAAACAGCAAAATATTGGATTTGTATGTGCTGCCCTAAGAATCACTGCTGCCATTGTAGTGTGCTTTATGTCTGTATTTTGTATTTGATATGTTTGATTGGGCTTGAGTGAAATGTTAGTTTTATTTGCACGTGTTACATATAAAGCACTCCCTCTTTATAAGAAAGATCATAAAAACATATAAAATAGAAAATATTTAGAGACTTCTTATCTGAATGGCTTGCTTTCTTAAACACATGGTTCTCTCTTACTATGAGAGAGTTACCTGTTGGTAACTTTCTAGTGTAGTTACACTTTAATCTAGCACATCAGAGAGGAGGAGGAAAGGCAGAGAATGCAAGACAAGTGTATAAAAATGCAGTAGGTGTCACATGTGCGGTGTTCTTAGAGTTGTCTTTTAATCCTAATTACAGAAAATCTGATTTCCACACTGTATTTGCATACTACTGGCCTTCAAATAAAAGCTTTTTATAATTGGGAAGTTATCTGCCTAATCAGACTTATTATTGAGAATATGAGTGGGATGCATTTTTATGTTGAACTGTGCAATCGTCAAAACAATAGGTAGCATAGCAGGTTTGATACACAATGAAATGTGTTGTTCAGAGCTGATGTGTGTGTAGAGCGTTTTCACCGTTGCTGAATGTGAATGATTAAAAAGAAAATATTTTCCTATCACCATAACAGTATTTTGATCATATTTCTTACACAGTCCAAATGTATACAACCTATATTAGCTACATGTTCTTGGTATCACATTGTAAAACATAGCTTTTAAAATGTTTCTATTTTAAGAGTATATGTGACATTAATATGCCTACTGATTAAAATTATAGTGATCAAGTAAATAAAATTGAATCTTGTTATATTTTTTCAAACCCATATGGGCCATATGTAGCAAATGTGAGCCTTTTGAAGAACACACAATATTTTGGTATCTTTTCAGTGTTTCAGAAAGA